CCCCAAAACCCCAAAACCCCAAAACCCCGAGAACATTAATACTAATGAAATTGATTGTTTGATTAAATAATTTCATTTACCTTCATAAAATTTCTTCATTGCATCCATCTCAGTTTTGCTTAGCTGTTTTTTATTAAATCCTTTCATCATTCTTTCATATGCTTATGGATCATCGATCTTTAATTTACCTAAAAGATTTCTCATATGTCTAGGGTCAACTTTTCTGCAAGTATGACATGCAAATAATACTGAAGTTAGAACTGTTAATGCTCCTGCTTAATGAAGATTTGGAATCCATATTTCAGATGGATACCATATAGCACCAATTCCAATACAAATTTGTAGAGTTATAGCCGCTAAAATTAACCAATAAGCTTTTCTAGCAATAGGTGTAAGATTCTTCATTTTATAAACTTCATAACCTCCTTTTAAGGCTAATAATGCAAATAATGTCCCCAGTGTTCTATGGATCACTTAAACTACTATCTTATTTTCAGTAAAGTTTTACCAGAAAGGAATATCTCCTTGGAAATGATTCCTAGTTAAGAACCAGTTTTATCCAACAAAAGGGTAGTTGTTCACAGCATACCTTCCTTAGATGCCTGAAGTGAAGAAACCATACAAAAGAATTAGGGGCAAAATTCCATGAGCAGATCTTAATAATAATTTTCTCATGGATGCATGGTCAGCCATATTAGCAAGATTTATGACTGCTTCTTGTGGTCTTCTTAATAAATTCATTGCTAGCCAGACTCCTACTCCATATATAATGTATGCTGAATACCCGTGCACAGTTAATCTATAAGGACTGACTCTTGGAGTCTTATCAAGTTCAATTGTCTTATTTTTGTCTACGAGTCCACTCTTGACCATCCACCAGCCTATTACTCCTTGTAATGAACCGAATGCTAGTAATGCAAATAATGATTTCTTGAGTTTTGGCTGAAGATAGCCTCTCATTAAGAAATAACTGAATGGCAAAATAAACAAAGCTCCAATTGATCTAGCTACTATTCTGTGAGCCCATTCCACAAAGTAAATTCTCTTAAAGCCATCAATGTCTAGACCTCTCTCTTTGTTGAAAAGATAATATTCTGGAAACTATTTATACTCTTCAAACTCTTGCTCCCATTCTTCATTATTTTTTGGAAGTCCAACTTTATGAGGGTGCCATTTAACCATGGATAAACCTGACTTACTTAAGCGAGTATATCCTCCTAGTATAACTATTGAAAATACTGAAGCGCTCAAAGATATTAGCCACCAACCCACAACTCTTTCTTTTCCTTTAATTACATATTGTTCGTTAATTCTGTTGAAGATAATCGGATTTTCCTTGTAGTTATAAGATTTGTATTAATGCTATGGTTGTGAGCTGAATTTCCTTCTGAGATGCTATCCTTTGTCTTGGATATATTACCTAGCTATTGCGGTATTTAGTCTAGAGTATTTTCCTAACATTTTGACTTTTATAATTTTTGTAATTTATCTATCAATTCAATGATTTCAAATATTTTTATTGATTTCCATTTTTAGGGGTTTTGGGGTTTTGGGG